ACATACAACACAACACACACACCACACACACCACACACCACACACACAACACACACACACACACACACACACACACACACACACACACACACACACACACACACACACACACACACACACACACACACACACACACACACACACACACACACGCTATGGGGCAAACAAAAACATACACGGTGGTTTTTCCCACAGCGTGTTTTTGTTTGTTTTTTTTTTTTCCCCCCCCCATAGTTTGTGTTTCTTGTGTGTGTGTTGCGTTTTCCCCAAAAATCGCTTCTCGGGGGCCTTCTCGTGAAGCTCCTGGGGCGCTCGTGGGCCCTCTTGGGGCTGCCTCCCGGGAGCCTCGTGGGCCCCTTCTCTTCGGGCTCTCTCTCTCTCTCTCTCTCTCTCTCTCTCTCTCTCCTGGACCCCCCTTGGGGCCGCCTCGAGGCTTCGGAGGCCCTCGGAAGCGACGAGGCGAGACTGCAGAGCTCCTGTTCTCTGGTGGTTTTTGCAGGGAGCTTGGCCTCGATGGTTATGTCGGGCATGTCCCCCTACAGGGGGATTTTCGATGACATATTAAACATACCTCAAACATAGTCAAAGAATAGTCCAAAAATAGTCTGGGGACTATTTTCTGAGTATTTTTCTACCTTTTTGGATGGTTTTTTGGGCATTTCATGTTTCGTCGAAGATCACCCTGTAGGGGGACACGCCCGACATAACTCTATGGGGGGTGTCCTCTTGAGGCTTCGTGGCTGCTCGGAGCAGCCTTGGCGTGGTCTTGGAGCCGCTTAAGCATCTTGGAAGCAGGAGCCATCTTTGAAAGTGTTTGTGGAGGACGATCAGTGGAGAGGAAACATGTTGCCAAACCATTTCCAGATGCCTTGAACATGTGTTAAACATGTTTCAAACATGCTAAACCAAGATGTTTATAACATTTTCCTGCATTTCAAACACATGTTAACTTCAATGATAGGACTGTTAGGATGTCCATTGTCGCGGCATCCACAAGACTATGTGATCGTTTTCTTATTCATTGTGTTGCTCATCGGCGCGGGCCCTCGCACCCCCTCCCCTTCACCCCCCCCTGGAGTGAATCTTGGCTATTTTTTTGGCGCGCCTGTTTCGAGCAGGTGGAGCCTCCCCCATAATGGACGCCCTGTTGCAAACAGTCGCATTAAGCAGATGTCCGGAGCCAGACCCCCCCCTTCCGCCCAATGTCGAAACGCCGAATAAGAAAACGCTCACTATCTTGAGCCATCTTAGGGGGCTATCATGCGTTCTCTGATGCCTTCTTGGAGCTGTCTTGGGCCGTCTTGGCCGCTCCACTGCCTCCTGGGGCATCCGGGGGGAGGGTAGAAGGATGGGTCAAGCTACCCACAAGCCGCAAGCAGTGTCGCTCACTTCCACCCGCCCTCCCAACACTCGAAGAATCAGAAGAAACGCCATAAACATAAACTTTTGGCGCTCCGCGCGGATTTCTTGGATCCGCGCTGAGCCCCCCCGGCGGCGCCCCCAGCGCCGCCCCTGGCGCGCTCCGCGCGCCAGGGAGGGGGGTCCAGCGCAGACCCAAGAAATCCGCGCGGAGCGCCAAAAGTTTATGCTTATGGCGTTCTTTTTTCTTCTAATCACATCAGTAGCATCCGAGCCTCAGCATGCACAGGGGCCGCCAACCACTGGGACCACCGCCAGGAAGGTGCGCTGCGCCCGCGAGGTGCGCTGCGCGTGCCAGGGCGCCCCCGTCATCCTTCCCAGATTCTATCGGGGGTGGACAGAACCCCCACCCTGACACGTCGATTCGTGAAGTGTCCGTTTTCGCTTGTCGAGAGGGCGCCGCGGCCGTCATTTTCCAGGCTTGCACCCGCCAGGTTTGGGCCTGGGGTCGTTTTCACTAAACCACGTTTTACTAAAGGGGGGGGGTTGTCCATCCCCGATAATAATGCAGCATGATCGCGGGGCGCCCGCGCATGTTCCAACATTTTGCCGCAACGTTCCCTAGCCATTTTGGCTCAGGCCGCTTCAGCTCAGGAAGCTTTCGCTCCGAGAGCGCCAGGTGCTCCCTGGCGGCCACTCTGAACAGTCCCTCGCCGAAGGCGGGCGGCCGGCGCTACCGCGGGCCTCCCGCCGAGCAGCCTGGGCCCATGGACCTTTGCATCACCGACGAGGTGGAGGAGCAGCTCGAGCTCTGCGGGGAGTCCACGGCGTTCCTCCGCTGCCGCGCGGAGCGCGAGGAGCGCATGGCCGCGTTGGGCAAGGACGCCGTGCTGCTCAGCGTCCCCAGCAGGCTCGCCCTCGCGCGCTTCCTCATGGCCGCCATCTCGAAGGTCTGGGGCCAGGCCACCCGCGCAGCCTGCCCACAGAAGGCCTGGTTCGACAGCATGCACATGTGCGACGTCCTGGCGGCCCGCGGACTGAACTTCGACGACCAGGCCGCGTCGCACGCGATCGCGGTGCTGAGGATCTTGGCGAAGGCCGAGGACGCCTCGCAGACCATGACCAGCGAGCGGCTGGCGACGCTGACGGACGTGCTCTGGCGCCACGGCGCGGCCGTGGAGCCTGCGTCGCCGGAGGACATCGACGCGGCGGAGAAGCGCATCCTGCGCTGCACGGGCTGGCAGATCTGGTCCCCGTCGCTCCACTCGTGGCTGGCCGCGCTCCTCTCGCGCCTCCGGGTCCTCGGCAGGCAGCACCTCGCGGGGCGCTGGGCCGGCTTCGGGGCGGTCCTGGTGCAGCTCTGGCAGCAGAGCTACAGCTGCGGCACCGCGGTGGTCCTGCACGAGGCGTCCGTCGGCCTCCTGGCTCCCCGCTCGCTGGCCATGGGCCTGCTGGGCCTCGGCTGCGTGCGCGCGGGCGTGCTTCCGCTGGACGACCTCCGCCCCGAGTGGCTCGGGGCGGCCGAGTGGGAGCAGGTTTACGTCCGTGCAATGGGACCAGTGCCGACCGTCGAGCCTGACTGGGACGCAGACACGCTCACGCAGATCATCCAGCTGGCCTTCGACAGCGAGATGGGCGCGGTCAGGAACGCCTGCGGGCGCGTCGCGCTGGTCGTGTCGGGCGTGCCACGGGAAGGCGCCAGGCAGCACGTCGCTGTCTAGGCAGCCCAGCGAGGAGGATGCTGAGGATCCGCCACAAACAATACGCAGGCACCCTCCGCTGGATTGTTCCTGGGCCTCAGGGGAGGGTGGCGGTGTCCACATCACCGCTGGGAGCCAGCGACTTTGTACACCGTCCCCTCCCCGAAGGTACGTGTCAAGCTCGTCGGAGGGTGTCTGTGTACATATTTTCGTGGCGTAGAGTAGCAGGGCGTGGTGTCGTCATCATCGCCGTCCGTGCGTTCTTCCTCTTCCGCAGCGGCTCGAGCGCCTGGGCGCTCGCCGCCGTGCGGCGCGGCAGCCTGCAGGTAGGTCGTGGTGCGGCGGCCGCCCCAGTCGTCGCAGGTGCGCGCGGCGCCCGCCTCCTGCCGCCAAGCAGCGGCCAGCCGTGCTGCCTGGCAGGCGCCGCGCGCATCGCGCCTCGGCGACTGCAGAGGGTGTTGTTACTCCGGGGTGTGGTTCGCGATCGGCGCCGCTGGGGCCTGGGGGCACGACGCTGTCCTCGTCGGGCCTCCTCGGGGCGCGGCGGAGAACTCGATCGAGGTCCCCTCCGGCCCCCCAGGGTGTCCCTCAGGGTGCCGGTCGTAAACCACACCTTTTGCAAGCCACAGCCTTCGGAGTCGCCGAACACCTGGAGAGATCGCGCAGGCCGAGCCCCTGCTAACGGGGCGTTCGTGCGCGGGGCGGTAGCTGAGAGGCCTCTTCGAGCGCGAGAACGGGGCGACAGTGCATGTAGTTGCCCGCGCGAGCACGTGAGGAATCGGGGCGACAAGAACGTCGCTGCATCATCATAACTCTGGGCGGGGGGGTACCTCGCACTTGTGCGCGGGACATCGATTTTTTGCACACATCATTGAAAACGCGCCCCTAGCCACTGGCTCGTTTACGAACGCCCCGTTTGCAGGGGCTTGGGCAGAGCATTCAGCTGGCGACCCCCAGCAGCATGA